AATTAAATTAGTATTGATTTTAAAGTTAATGAAAACCGAGGTATGGGGGCTAATTTATAGAAGTCGAAAGAAATGGCACAACAGTCAAAAAGTTGTGTTTTCAACAGACACAAACTGTTTAGACCAGCGCAACCGTCCTTCTAGAAGAGTCCACGTGTCACACACAGAAAATTCAGGTAAAATTAATGTATTATTATAATAATAAAATAATATAAATCAAATATAATTTTACTAAAAGATATATATCAGCTTGGTTTAAATCCAAATCAAAGTCCAAGACCTACGATGGGTGTGCATGTCGTGCCGGCCGATCGGACAAACGGCGGCGGTGGTGCGCGCGTGTGGGCTTTGGCCCAACCTACTAGCATGTATGTTCTCTCCCCTTCAAAAATTATTGGTACCTCCTGGAGCTCAAACCCAAGTCCCAAACTTGAGCAATATAAATTGGTTTATATTCTTCTGGCTTTCCTATGTGGGATTGACACTTTTCTAATTTCACACTAATTTTTATTCCAATTTATTTCCACTTGAAGTGGTCATCTTTTGGTCTAAATTTCTCATTCACCCTAAATTGGTTTTGAGAAAATAAATATATTACATTAATCTACTAATGGAGCAGAACACACTCGGCCAAAGAAATATTTTATCCAACTAACGGGATCCACTAAAATAATTGATCAAAAATTTATCAAACCAACTAATCAAATCCAATTTTCCAGCTAAATCCACTTTTGATGGCTCGCACGAACATATGACCTCATGAAAATGATATTGAAATGTCTTGTAAAAAACAAACTTCTCGACATTTTGATAGATATTACCGACATGCTTCTTTTCCTTAAAATCCTCTGAATTCGACTTCGTTAATTAAATCTTATTCTTCTCTTTCGTCTCGTCTCCTGTCGTCCTTTTAAGGAGATAAATTTTCAACACAGAAGCAAACGTGTATAGATCAAACCTCCTATAAAAAGGCAGGCGAGGGCATTCAATTTAAGAAAGGTGTAATTAGCTTTACGCGTTGCACCAGACAATTTGAAGGTTGGGCCCAATCAAGAAATTGAAGAAAATAAAGGAGTGGTTGCAGTTAAAAGATCCAATGCGCCTATCATGTGCAATTAGGTGACAAAGTATGGTGTGGGCTGTCTTTTTTCACAAGTAAAGCCAAGGTCGGCGATTCACGGATTGTTCAAACAAGAAGTGCATAAAATTATATTCCTTTTTATTTTCTTACATTATATATTAGTTTTTTCCCATAACTTATATATTAACACTGCAAGTGTCGTGCCCATGTTTCCAACTTACCATTTATTTGTATATTATTTGGTCACATGATGTTAGGATGGAATTGAATCGAGGGGATAACATGAACATTTGAAGAATTTCACCCGATTCAAATATCAAAATAAAAGTTGAAATCACCTTTCATATTTTTTTTTTAAATAAAAAATATCTTTTCAAATATCACTTGGTCATTTAACGTTTACATAAATATTTTTCGTTAACTGAGATATGGATTTCATGCTCCGAGGACCCTCTTGGAATTTACCCTAATAAGAATGCTAGATAACATTTACTTATAAGGGGCAAAAGAGCAACTTATTTAAACATGTCGAAAAATAAAAAAAAAAAATTACTTAAAATAAGCTATGTAATTTAAGCTTAACCAACTTCAAAAACCCCTTTTTGGGTTATTGAATGAAGAAAGCAAATAAAATTGTTCCTACTTTAGTAGACAATGGTAGCCGTTGTAATCAATTAAAAATATGAGGCTGTCTTGCCATCTTTATTTGAGTGAAAATAAGCAAGTTGGACCCTGGGAAAAAAAATCAAGTTGGTTCTATTAATTCTATGGACAAACCTAGGATACCAATTAATGCCTATTAGTACTCATTTGCCTTGTTTCAATTATTTGTTTTTTTGTGGTAATAATCCAACCCGTGAACTTGGTCTTACTTTAAAATGTTAGATCTTCTACCGAAGAATTTTATTAGTAAATCAAACCAAACATATTTCTTGGATGATATATATGTTAGTTTGATGACCTTAGAGTAATATTTTGTAAATAAAATTATGAGATATGATTTGACTATTCGTAATATTAATATGAAGTTTCATGATCATATAAGATGTGAAAAGTTGTATATTTGATGTTCGAGTATAGTTAGACACAATTTGTAACATAATCAAAATATATCGTTCACGATCGGTACATAAAGTTGGATGTTTATGTTTATAAGATTGCATTTTTCTTATTGAGATTTGTCTAAATTTTGGGAATAAGAGTAATGATTTATTTGGTGCACACGGAACATGACCACATTGATGATTGATTTGTCACAGTTAGAAATGAGACTTTACTCGATTATCGAACTAGTCACGTGAATCCTAATCGAGTTCAAGTTCAAGTTCTTTGTGGTACCAATCAGTGAAGTATTAATTGGAAGATCGATCTCAGTACTTTAGGAATCGAGATATTATATACTTGTAATAGAGGAATCCGTTAATTTAATCAATGAGATGATCATCACTCTGAAATATTCTCTATAGGTATTTGAACTTGAGCTCAATAGTCCGATGACGGGATCGTTGGACTCTATGTTGGAATTTGTTCACAACGAATTTGCTTTATAAAAATGGAACTTGAAGGCCTATACATGTTGGAAACGCCAAACAATCATTTTTTTCGATTCCAACATATTAAGGGTCCAACGGGGTTAACTTGTGAAATGATGATTGGATGACATTATTATTGGTTCATGATTTGCTTCCATAATTGTGATTTGATTCGAGAATGCAATTTTGACTCCTTGGTAGAATGAACCGAGATTAATAAATTTATCTTAATTGATCAAGAATTAACCCAATTAGAAAGATCTATTGGAACTTGGATTTCGTAAGTTCGATTAGATCCCTCTCTTAGTTGTGTAAATTATGCAAGTATGAAACTCTAATTAAGTATTATAAATATGTCCTTAATGGACACATTTCTCAAGAAGTATGGTTAGCAACATTTTCTAATTTCTCAAAAAAAGGAGGCACTTAAAGGAGAGGCAAGAGAAATGATCTAAAGATGAAAGCTTGAGGAGGAGGTGCAAATGTAATTTAAGCTTTTTTGAGGTTATGATCTCACACCATGTGTGAATATTTAAAAACAATATCCAATAACCTTATAGGAGATCTAATATCTATAATTTATTTGGATTTAACCTTCAAAGGGAAATCAATTTCCTCTTGTGATTAAATATAAGAATCAACAATTATGCAAAAAAAATTTTTTTTTTTCATGAAATTATTTCCTCTTTTGATGAAAACATGTTTTGTTCATATTTATATTCTTAGTATGACGATTTGAAAGATATATTAATAAATAAACAACATTTTTGTTTTGACATCAACAATAAATCGTATGCTATCAAATTGCTGTGAATAGCGGATGAATGTATTATAATTTGGATGACAATCATCAGCTCACTTATTAATTAATGATTGAACTAATAGTGGTAAATTGAATTAAAAAATATGACTTGATCGCTGATGTAACAACTCCACATCAGCGATGAGTAATTATTATCATTTTCACTATGAACATGAGATCAGTTCTATCAATGAACCATATAAAATGAAAGGAAAGAGGAGAGAAGAGAAGAGACTAAGCATAAACCTTTTTAATTGCCATTACCTTTGAAATGCACTATTCACAAAAAAAGGTCTCCAAAATTTAGGCAGAATAATGGGTGACCCCGCAGAGTTCTATCTAGTAGTTTTCTCTGTATTTATTTGCCTTTATTCTTTGGATTTGTTCAAATTTGATTGAGGGGAAAGTCAAAGAAACAGGAATTTGGGATTTCGATTGTGTTTTTATGGAGTTTCTTTTACGTAATCGGAGATATTTGATAATAATGGCTCCCACTTGCAACGACTGAATTTTGGCAAACTTTTTAGAAAAATAACAGATTGCAGTAAGTTTTGGCGGTAAAATTGATCCTCGTTTCATATATAAGCTACTTATAAGTTATTCCAAACATACCTATATCTAAAAGGAATTTGACAATTAATTGGGTACGTCTCTATCGATCACAAAATTTTCTTCATCCAGAACCGACCAAATCACTATGGGATTCGTGATCGAAAATTCAAGAACTTCCACGTGTCTTTTCTGGATTTTTCATGTAAAATGTCGACATGGGTATTAATTAGGTTGGTGTCTGACATTTTTTGTTCTGTACTTCTTTTTTTAATTTCTGAGAATAAAAAATCTGATCTAAAAAATTCTCACACGACTTTTAACTGTTAATTTCGTAGGCAAGTATATGAATTTTAGTTTCAAATTTTATGTCATCTTCAAATTGATGAATTACTTAATTATCATTCATAGGACAAGGAATCTTTGATGTAAAACTGAGTTGCGTCATGTAGTGTTCAATTTAAAAAATAAAATAAAATGCATTTTAATATTTTAATTTCTAGAGCATTAAATAACATAACATGGAGATCAATTATACACAATTATCGTTAATTTTGGGGACGATAAGTGGTGAAATCTGAAAATAATAATTTAATTGAGATAAATTAAACTTTAGTCACCTAATTGAGATTACTATGAAAGTTCAATGACTGCAAGTGAAATTTACCTAAGAAAAATTGGTGTTGAAGCATTGTCTGGTGGGTCGGTGAAAGCGATAATGATCAGAATTGTAGTGGTAGCCATGGAATTCCACCTTTTCCCTACTTTGATTGGTATAAAAATTATATCCTAAAAAAAAATATTTTTCATGCAAAAAAAATAGTAACCAAATACTTTAGAATAAAAATTTAGGTGAAAAATTGACATTTTCCATTAAAAATAAATACAATTAATTAACCAAATCACTTATAACTACAAAACTATCCCCCACGAATCGACACAATAAATACCACTGCTATAGTCCCTCACTGAGTTCTCAGTACTACCTGTATTCTTGATATATATACATACGCATTCTCTGTATCTATATTAACATATGACGAAGGACGCAGGGGTGGCGGAGCACGGGTCATTCACGGCCAAGGACTATCACGATCCACCGCCGGCGCCGCTCATCGACGCGAAGGAGCTGACAAAGTGGTCATTTTACAGAGCTTTAATAGCTGAGTTTGTAGCCACCTTGCTATTTCTTTACATTACAGTTTTAACTGTAATTGGGTACAAGAGCCAGATTGATACTGACTTGAACGGCGACCAGTGTGGTGGGGTGGGAATTCTTGGTATTGCATGGGCCTTTGGTGGCATGATCTTCATTCTTGTCTACTGCACTGCTGGAATTTCTGGTCAGTATTTTTTTTCTTGAGACTCAGGATTCTATGTTAAAAGATTAATTTATTGATTAGTATTTTCATATATAACCATTTTGATCTACCATTAACATGACCTGCGAAGTGGTGGCTCATATGCCAACATTAATCTTGATATCTGACTCTTCGATTCAGCTTTAAACCGATTGGATTGGTCATATCAGCTTTCGATATTGAGTCTTGAGTTTTATTTTAGAATCTTGGATCTTACAAGTAGCTCAACCGCTTATATATTAGTTCAGTTTTTCAAATTTTGAATATTTCATTCAGGTCTAAAAAGACGGTGTATCATTTTATAACTTCATTCTTTAAATCTGACTATTTGAGTGATTAGAGTGTAATTTTGAATGGTGTAATTTGAGTGATCTGTGTGCATGCAGGGGGGCACATAAACCCAGCAGTGACCTTTGGTCTGTTTTTGGCCCGGAAAGTGTCTTTGATCCGGGCAGTGATGTACATGGTGGCACAGTGTTTGGGAGCCATCTGCGGCGTTGGTTTGGTCAAGGCATTTCAGAAATCATACTACAAGAAGTACGGAGGTGGTGCCAACGAGCTGGCCGATGGGATCAGCACCGGCGTCGGGTTAGCTGCCGAAATCATCGGAACATTCGTCCTTGTTTACACTGTTTTCTCCGCCACTGATCCAAAGCGTAGTGCCAGAGATTCTCATGTCCCTGTAAGTATCTACTGAGCTCAATTTTTGCTTCAGTCACTAAGTTTGTTACAATAAACTGTGAAAATATACTATCTTATTACTATAATCACCTGTAAAATAATCTGTTAATTACGCTAGTTAAGTAAAGTTGTATCTGTTGTGCTGTCCCTATGTTTTCATCGATTCAAGTTTGGTAAAGATAAGTAATATTTTCCTTCGTGGGGGTGAATGTGAGCCATATAATATTGCAATATGCGGTACAACTGGAGCACTTACGAGTATCATGTCATGTGGTTGTAAGGGACGTGAAGCAACTTGGTGACAGATACAACGAATCAAGAAAAGTACAAGAAAGAAAATTAGTATTGGTTTCTCTAAGTCATTATGGACCATAAAACTTTAGGAAAGTACCCCCTGTAGTGCTGCATCCTGATCTCTCTCTCTCTCTCCAGCTGTCGATGAAATTACGCCAAGTGCCCCTGTATGAACTCTTATGAAACTTATCTTGCACATGTATCATTACTCAACTCTTTAGCTTGGGGACATGGATTCTTACATTATAATAGCAACAGAGTAATGTTATTCATTCCAGTAGGTTTACAAATACATTTAACGCCACCCAAACTGTGTTTGTGATAAATATCATTTAGATAGAAAACTTTTGTGGGCCCTATTAGAACTAAGATATTCCACGCTTGTGGGGGATATTGTGCAATATGGACCATTCTATACGAACATGGCCAACGTGACTCTATTCAAATAGCTTTATCCCGTGCAATATGCAACACTTTTAAGGCATGAACTTTTTCTTCAATAGTGATGTCCATTGCAGTTGAAGTTAACGTACTAATTATATGCTAAAAGCCATTATTATTTCCAAAATACTAGGTATTGGCACCTCTTCCAATTGGATTTGCAGTGTTCATGGTTCATCTGGCCACAATTCCAATCACCGGAACGGGCATCAACCCAGCTAGGAGTCTTGGAGCCGCAGTAATCTACGATCAGGACAAGGCTTGGGACGATCATGTTAGTACATATATTCCAAATTAAACGGAATTTTTTGACTTGAAAAAGTCTTTTGACGACCGGAAATTGGTGCAATTTTTTTCTAATAATTACATTTATATGTTTTTCAGTGGATATTTTGGGTCGGGCCATTTATTGGTGCAGCTGTTGCAGCATTCTACCACCAGTTTATATTGAGAGCTGGAGCAGTAAAAGCTCTTGGTTCATTCAGGAGTAATGCTTCTCATCATTGAAATTAAGAATTTTCCTTCATGATTTTCAGATGAATTTTCAAGCTTAATTATGAATAATTTTCAACTTTTCTCCATCAATATAATGATTCTTCAAAGATCCTTAGCGATGGGAGAGTTCTTTAGAACCTTGGAAATGTATGGATAAGAAAGATAGCTGGAAAAGTGGGAAACTCAACTTTTATTTCATTCCTTTTGTCCTTTTATGTTTTGATGATGTGGGATCGTATGTAATTTTCAAGACTTTAAGAACTTGGTTTTGAACTTTTAAATTTGAATATTTAATTCTACGGCATTTAAATGAATAAAGCACAAAAATAAAATAAAATAATGAGAAATACAAGTAAAGGTAAGAAAGAAAGGAAATGAGTCATTTTGTAATATGATATTAAAATACTTTTGATTTTTCATTGGAGTATTCGAGAACAATCAAGCACGTTTACCTGAGAACAAGTTTAACTAAGCTCAAAATGTTTAATAATTAAAGAAAAAAGAAAAGAAAAATTCTATTTTAATTGTATTATTGTAGCGTATCGAACATGTAAGTTTAAGTTGAGTTCGATTAGCCACCACTTACAAGATGAATGTGCTAATAGCTGCTATAGAATTTACAAATGCGTTGGTGGTGATCCACACAATTTTCTTGCTGATTATCGGTGAATTTCATTTGTGGTCACTAAACTTTTAATGAATTTTTAATTGGCTTTATTAAAATTTATTCCGTCTCAAATGGGTCACCGAACTTTAATTTAATTTGAATTGAATCAATGCAGTTCACGTGTCATTTCACAAATAGATGAAAATTGCTTAACTAGCAGAAATACCACAATAAATTCTTCAAGTAAACACTCGATGACCGCCCTTATCCCAATAAAATACGAGGAAGCTTACTCTGATGAAAAAATGTCAAAGAGTAAAAGTGAAATGGAGTGTAAGTTGAGGTGGAAAGTGCAATATTTCCAAATAAAGGAAAAAAATTAAAAAATAAATTTAGCATATTAAGAGTTAAAACACTCAATGCCGGTTTGGTTTTGCTTAAATAAGATTTTTTGTAGATTTTGATAATATTTGATGAAATTCGGGGTTAAAAAATTGATAAATATTGTGGATCTCTTGAAATATTTGATTAAAATTAATTGTTAACTTTAATTTAAATTTTTTTTCAGCATTTTTAAGTAAACCAAATAAGGGCTTGTATTGAAAATTATTTATGTGGCTGACCTCATGTTAAGAAAAAGTTAAACTTGGAGTCAAATTGATAGACTAATAAAAGGACTTTAATGCAATGATTTTACGTAATTTGAAAGATAAGTTTGATGCAGTGGACATAATTATTGAACCAACCGTGCCAAAGATAGCTTTTGATTTGATCCAATCTGATCTCAGGTCCATAGTGGACAGAAGTTATAATGTCAAAAGTGGGCGTGACAATATGTGGTGTTGCCAAGTCATATTCTCACCGTTGATGTGACAGTGACAACATCACATGTTGTTACGCCTACAATGAGCATTATAACTTCTGCCTACTATGAACAGAAGATTAGATCTGTTAATTTGATATATCACGAATAAGTTTTTCCTAGCTAGACCAAAATTATGCCACTTGACCATGCGACAATCATCGACCCAAATTGGAATGGCCCTATACCTATTATAATCCAACCAAACTTTAGTTAGACTTGGATCCTCAATGCTTTCAATTGTTTAGGCAATAGTTATGAATTTGGACTTGATCGTTGACTCAATAAAAATCACAGGATCAGTAGTTTAATTGAGAGGTTACTGTCAATTCAAAGGTCTAAATAAAAACTTTTTTTTTTCAAGAAAGATATGACAAACAATTGTCCTAACAGTGCTGTGCCAACTAAAAAGAACTAGGACTGAACATGGTCCGATTTCGATTCGATTCGATTCTGAAGAGAATCGAACCGAACCAAAATTTTCGGATATTTAATAAATGGAACCGTAAAATCCAAATATAATTATGGAACCGTTCGAGTTCGGTACCGTAGCATAATTAAATTTTTAAACATATTTCTAATGGTCACGATAGGTGGTCGTGGTCAGAGGTCGTAGCTTCGATGGGCAGTTGGAGAGGGGAAGTCGACGACTTCGATTTAGGCATGTGGATGTAGGTTTTCAATTTATCAAGTGATTTGGGGTCAGTGACTCAGTGGTTACCGAATAAAAGTGTGAAATTGGAAAGAGAAGGATAAAAACTTAAAAAGACCTTGATCTTGGGTTAAGAATGAAATTAATAATAGGACCAAAAAATTAATTCAAAAAATTGAATTTAAAAATAAGGTTGGTAAGGTTAGGTTAGGTTAGGTTAGGTTGGGTTGGGTTGGGTTGGGCTAGCTAGACATGGACTTGGCTTGAAAGTTAAAACATTAATCACTAAATCAGTTAATTTGCTAATTTGTTTAGAAAAAATTAATTAATTCAATATAAAAAATTAAAACAATTATTTAAATTTAGTTCTTATTCGGTTCTAGAACCGAGAACCGCACCAAACCAAACTCGTCGGTTCTCGATTCAGATACCCGTTCGGGTATTTAACTTGTGAAGAACCGCTCGACTCGATTTGGTTCGATCCGGTCCGGTTCGGAAGTTTTGTCCAACCCTACTGCTCCGCAATGACAAACACACAAGTCAGGTAGGATTTAATTACATGTGAAGGAAATGTCGAATGTGCTTGCATAAATTCCGCTTTAAAACAGCCTNATTTGGTCGAAATCTCATCCCGTGCCACTAAATTCAAATATCGTCGCTGCACCGGAAAACCATATCTAAAATACTACAAATTGGAAAACAATCAACAAAACGCCCCACCGCAATCGCCATTACCACCACCAACTATGACCACCCTTACCCTGCCAACACCAGCACCATGACCAAGACCACCATCTGTGACCACCCTCACACCGCCACCGCCACCGCCACCGCCACCGCCACCACCACCATTTTGTAACCTACCAATAACAACCTACACGGCTTTTTCACAGATCACGTGTAGCGCCGCGGGCTTCTTTACAGATCTGCAACGCCGCCACGTTTGCGATATAGAGGAGAAAAAGTGGGACGCACAGCTTCTTTACAGATCACGTGCAGCGCTGCCAAATTCACACACATCCCTCCGGCGTATCTCCTTCGTCGTCAGCTGTCAGCTTCGAAGTCAGAGAAGTGAGAGAAGAGAGAAAAGGCAAATTTACAGCAGCTTGCCGGAGGAAAATGTGGATCTGCAGCTGACTGAAGGTTGTCATAAGCTCCTCCTTCTCCTCACGAACAAAACCACTAACAAAATCACCATTTTCACTACAAAATCACATCCATAGCCGCCGCCACCGCCACCACCACCACACAAAACACCACACCACCCAACCGCCAGATCTACCACAACAAAAACACTGTCGGCGCAGCAAAATGATTGCCATTGTAGCAGCGATGAACTATCGTTGCGCCGTGAGCCTCCGCCTGCATCAGTCGTCGAGTGTCGCGACGTTGCCTTCGCAAGAGGACAGAGAAAAGGGAGGGGGAGATGAAAAGATGACGAATGACTGCACCGGCGACGGAGATGAAGGTCTTGGAGGGAGGAGACAGAGAAGGAGGGAGAGAGAGAGAGAGAGAGATAAGGTGAAGATGAGAGAGAGTGTGAGAAACGGAAGTGATGAAATTAGGATTTTAATATTATAGTATTAAAAAAAATTAAATTAACACCTGATTTTTGTATAAAAAACTTTTCAACATGAATTTTGAAATGTATAGTTTATATGTAGGGTTTGAGCCAATTTTCCCAAAAATGAAATAAAAAATTGAATTTAGAAATTGGGTTGGGCTAGTTAGACATGACTTGGCTTTAGAGTTAGAGCATTACTCACTAACTTGGTTAATTTGCTAATTTGTTTAGAAAAAATTAAAATAATTTAATTAATTTAATATAAAAAAATTAAAATAATTCGGTTATTCGGTTCTAGGTCTAGAACCGAAAACCAAATCAAACCCGTCGGTTCTCGATTCAGCTATCCGTTCGGGTATTGAACTTATAAAGAACCGCTCGATTCGGTTCGGGCCCAGTTCCGTTCGAGAGTTTTGTCCAGCCCTAGAACTAGGGAATGTGTGGTACTGGCGGAAGGACTCAAATTTGCTTTCGATGTAATTGTTGGAAAAAATGGGTGATTTGTGTGTAGATATTTATCAATTAACATGATCAATTAAATAGCATAAATATAACATTAATAAATATAATTCAACTATAACATAAACATAAAATATAAGTAGAGAATTAGAAAACAAGTATTAGGGAGTCACGTCAAGGACGTTGTCATGAAGTCGTGTTGCCTCTCCTTCGTGCAGGTACTTTCAGCACTACACGGCTCCAAGATAAGTCCCATGTGGTTCGCAATCGATTCTCCTTCTATGAACACGACTATAGAGAGATAAATAATGAACCTTTATCGAGTTATCAAAAATATAGTACGGAAAATATATAGAGACCAATCCTCTAACTTTTGTTTTTCAAGTTGTATGCAAACGATACAATCTCTCTTTTCATAGTGTAAAACTTAACATCAACAATAATAAGAATTTTACAAATTTAAAATGTATGTAACTCTCTAATATTATGAGATTTAATTTATATTAAATGTTGATATTAAAAATCAAAACTGAAAAATAATATTTGTCGTGGAAGTTTAAAGCTTCTAAAAAATGTTACAACAATCGCTCATAAGTTTTAAATTTTCAATATATATATACAATAGCGACAACATAATACTGTGCAATAAATGTAAGTGTCTTTTGGACTAGAACCTCACTTAATAATAACAATTTCAATTTGAGGGAGCCACAATGGACTAAATCTTGAATTAGGTCCCTTTTGCCCAATTTTAATTGTTCCACATATAGTATCGATTTAGACTTAGTAAATGGCCATACACTCTTATCTTGATTCTAGTAAGAGTCTCTAGGGAATAGTCCAATCCCATAGCCACGGACTCACGACA